GAAGGCATAAATAAAATAAACGCTATTATCAAATTAAAATGAGAACTATGCTCATCAAGGTTGCTTTGAAAGGACAGGAGCTTTCTCTAACAGGAGCACCCCATCATCAGATAAGCTTCCCTCAACTTGAGCCACAAAGCCAGCGGGAGGGGATGGCGAATCAGTCTCAACTGCGGTGAGGTTCAGATTGTGAGAGCAAAAAAACCCCTCAGTCCCACAGAAGCGGATTCCCCAAAAATCTTCACACCACTGTGAAATCTCTGTGCACACTCACTGGATGACAAAAAGCAAACACAGACACTTGACACATAATTCGCCAATCAGTTGAGAAAGAGCCTGAAGTTTTGGTCAGGCCTTTTTTTTGTATGTGTTTATCTGTGATGCGGGAGACAGAACCCAGGGCCTCGTGAAAGCTAGGCTCTGTCACTAAGCTCCACTCCCAGCTGGCCTCCCACCTTCCTTCCTTCCTTCCTTTCTTTTCTTTTCTTTTCTTTTCTTTTTTTTTTTTTTAGAATTACAGTCATTAATTTATATTTTTACTTTGTGTGAGTGTTGGTCATATGCCGTGTAGAGGCCACGGGACAACATTTGAGAGTCTGTCCTCTCCTTCCACTATCTGGGTTTCTAGAAATTAAGCTCAGGCTGTCAGGCTTGGGGCAAAGAGCCTTTACCCACTCAGCCATATCACCAGGTCATTGTGCCCTCCTGCCTTCCCTTCTAAATAGAAGAGAAGAAGTCAGAATGGAAAAAAAATTTTTTTCTTTTGTTTCTAGAGGTGGGTATGTTTGTTTTGGTTTGTCCTTTTTTTTTTTTTTTTGAGAAAGAGAAAGAGAAAAATGTGTGTGTATGTGTGTGTGTGTGTGTGAGAGAGAGAGAGAGTGTGTGTGTGTGTGTGTGAGAGAGAGAGGGTAGAATTAAAGAAAAGAGAGATACCAGCAAATGTTTAAACTTGTGAATACACAAATGTCCAAACAGGACATTAAACATTAGTTTTCTGGTTTTGTTTGGTTTGTTTTTTGTTTCTCTGTTTGCTTGCTTACTTTTGTTTTGGTTTTTCCAGGGTTTCTCTTGTGTATTCTTGGCTGACCTGGACTCTCTTTGTAGACCGGGCTGCCCTTGAAGTCACAGAGACCCGCCTGCCTCTGCCTCCCTGAGTGCTGGAATTACAGGTATGTGCCACCACACCCAGCTTTTTTGACAAAAACAAAAACCCTTCATTTGAATGTGTTTTGTTTGGGGAGTCTGTAAACTCAACAACCAAGGAAATTAAAACTTCGTAATTAACAATATTTGCAGTATACCACTTTAAAGCCCTTGCTGGCTCTCAAGAGTTTTACCAGACTGTTTCTTTCTATGATACAAAGATGTCAGAATCATAGATATTGTCAGATTCAATCTGATGATCAAGCTAAATTCATGTTAAGCAGAAAACAAAACCTAAATTCCCCTGAAATAAATTTTGAAAAATGTTACGAGAGTTCTGAGAATAGTGTATCCTGTTTCATACAGAGTGAAGCGCTAGCCACCCACAATGAAACCTGTTTTAGATATGTTTCCTGGCAATATTTTAAATGTATTGAGTTTTATGGAGTTTGGGCCATAAACCTGTTACACAAAGTTATTTCTTTATATATATTTTTTTCCATTTAAACATCTTATAAATCCAGTTGTCTGCTGTTGGAACTCCTTCGGTATTATTAAGTTTCACAGAAGGAAACAATACACCGAGTTTGTTTCCGTTGGCTCTGGCGCTCACTTCCAGAGGTAAGCATGTACGTGAGGGGTCCCCAAAAGGGCCATCAGGAAAGGATTTATCCCCATCTCCATGATAAAAATCTTCGGGTTTTCATCCCTTCCTTCACTCTCTGTGTATCATTGCTGGCAGATGGCCTCCTCCGGATCAAACGAGGAAGAAATGCCCTACTGTTTCTCCTAACGAGGAGGTACGTCATCGAGTTTCTGTACGGGGATCGTGTCTGCTTCATCCCAGGTGCCTCACATCTGGAGCTAATCCTGCAGTGAGCACCACCACAAAGCAGGGAGGGGCCTTTGCCCGCCTTCCTCCAAGCATGCTGCAGGAGCTCCATCAGAGCCTGTGGCAGCTGTTAGTCTTGAGGTGAAGAGGAGGAGGTTTGAAGGACAGAACGAAAGGCATAGCTCGGGACATCAAATACTGCAACAGAGCTCATTTTCCCTGCAACTGTAGAAACTGCCGTCTATATCTGTTCAGTGGTACCTGAAGAACAACATTATCCTTCCCTGGCACACTTTCAAGCACAATAAGGCAGCTGTAGACACAGAGATTCTATTCCATTGTTGCTTGTGAGTCTGAGAAGTGAGCCAAGAGCTGTGATACTGATACTGATGTCAAGGATACTGCTGACTCAACACAACTATCATTTTTCTCTGGCCAGTCATCCTGGACATCAGGAAGGTGGCAAATAGCACATCCCATCGGTAGTGATGGAGGCAGATGCTCCAAGCAATCCCACGACCATGGCAAATACCACTGAATTCTGAGCTAGCCGTTAATACCCAGGACCAAGGCCCTAGAGTTTACCAAGACTCTCAGGCAGGAAGTTTACTTCCTTTCACCCTTGTTGTTCCCTAGCAGTGCAACACTGAAGAAAGAGTCAAGGAACCCAAGTCACGAAACAGCAGAGTAGGAATATGTGCAAATTCATACGCTTTACTGTGGCTAAAAATGGAACATTTGAAAATGACCTCCAATAACTCTTGTGTTGCTACAGAATTTTGCAGGTATAATTAACTCTCAGATTAGACGATTTTTGACATTTTTTTCTTCCACATCTTACTTTTGGGGGGGCTTAGAGACAATTGCCATGCCATATAAGTAAATGCAGGCATCTTTACAAACTCTCAGTATTCTGAAACCAATTGGCATTAATCCCTAGAAGCATCTAATATTGGCAAGCCACAGATGGGACTACCGAGGTGACATGGCTGAAGAAGATTCAGAAAGACAAGGAGTCCATTAGCAACACTGTGATTGAAGAGGTGGATGGAAGACGGCCTCCCAGTTCTCCTTAGAGGAAAGTTTTTCCTTTCCCCATTTTCTTGTGTGGTATCTAATCTCTGAGTCCTCATTTCCTCAGCCATCTGATAACTATAAAATTCTAAATAAAGTGTCATCTTTCTAGCAACAAATCAATGAACAGAGAGTTCTCATCAACCTACAGACGCTTCCAAAAGTGCCTGCTGATTATTTTCAAGTGTCTAACCCACAAACCATGTGGAATGTTCTTTGGAAGCTTTCTTTATTCCAGGAGGAGAGAGGCTGTGTGTGTGTGTGTGTCCATGTGTTTCAAAAGAAGATGGAGAAGTGATAGGAGGGGGTCTGCAGAGATGGCTCCTTGGTTGAGAGCACTGGCTGTCCTTCCAGAAGACCCAGGTTTGATTCCCAGCATCCACATAACAGCCTACAACTGTGTGTGACTCCAATTCCAGGAGACCCAATGCCTCCTTCTAACTGCTGCGAGCACCAGGCACACATGTGGCCCACAGACAGACATGCAGACAAAATACACAGACACAGAAAATATTTTTTTAAAGGAATATGAAATATGAAATCAACAGTGGGGTGGTCACAAATTATCTTTTCGCTGCCCATTTAATGTCGAAGCTTAGGTCTTTCCTAATGCTATAAGTGTATGTATAAATGTGTGTATTTATCTACGCAAATTGACAAAACTGTATTTGCATTCCATATCACATATTTTATATCAACAGAACAACTCTGTTCCCTATTATATTCAGGGCTTCCCTCTCTCTCTAATAGAATTTAAAATTCCACTTTTATTCTTTCTACGATCCTTATGGTAATGCAGAGGCAAACTCACGAAAATAAAGAAAATCTATGGGTCATTAACTAAGCCTCCAAGTACATCGCTAAGACTAAACGTATCTACTAATGAAGTAACGATATGCAAGAGTTTGATTTCAACACTTCACAGCCTACCAAAATTTAGACATTCCCACTTTTACCAAAAAAAAAAAAAAAAAAAAAAAAAAGTAACCCTCTTCAGCATTCTGCTTGTTTCAATTATTCAGGGCAACCCAGGCTGATAATTACACAGTCCCCAGTTGCTGAGTAAAAGTGATGCTTAATTAGCCAGCAGGAAAGGTCGATTAAGATCCAGCAGGGCACCTCATGAAGGTCTTTCCCACTCCTGCAGGGAGCAGACTCCGACTGTGCCCTTCCAAGGGATAGAATTCCCCGTGTCTAAGGGTTTTCCACCGGTTTTGGAAGTAGAAGCTCAGAATGATCCGCCATGCAGGTCAGATCCCGGCCCTAACCCTGCGGATGCTCTCTCAGAATTCTCGGTTCAGGCGTTCTGAATCGGGACACCACAAAGGGCAGAGGAAACGTTCTAAGGTCGATGCTCACTCAGCCGTTACCTTTATGTAAAGCCGGTCAGGAAATGGATCGTAAAGGAAATTTTGATTTCTCCTTCCCCTAAGGAAGCGTGTGCTCCCAGCATCTATCCGCTGCTCACATTCGAAAAACGTGCAAATGAGATTAGAGCTCCTCATCTTAAAAACTTAATGAGCACAATGTTCCTCCCCAGTCTGGGGCTAATGTATACCAGCACGGTCAAAGAATCGACTAGCCAGGCCTGATGATTCTAACTTTACTACTGCAGAAGGGAACGTGAAAGCAAAGTCAGCGCCAAAAACATGAAAATCCTCTTCTGCTCCCTAACCCTCCTCGTTAGTTACCTAAACAAGCATAAATGTCTCAATGTCACCATTATTCGTCTGCCATTTGTTAGCCACAAAGGTGGTCACTGAGATAAAGCCCCCGAAACCGAAATCAGCCTGATTATTTTAAGGTAGTTACCAAAGCCTGTTTATGTTGGTATCCGCACCTACCTCCAAATCAATTCATAAATTTCTGCCAAGTGTGAAAACCTGTGGCAGATGCCACTGTCCTCAGCTCATACTCCGGTAAGGGAGGGATGAGGCTGGCTGATACGAACCTGGATTTGATTTGCTGGAAGCCCCGGAGAATGTGGTCTCTCTGGTCCTGCGCCCCGGCAGTGAGGTTCTCATTCCGCAAGCCTTCTGCCAGGAAGTCTTCAGTATCTAAAGGAAAAGAAAGAGGTGGTCAGCAGAAGATCGGTGAGAGAGGGGAAAGGACAATTATGAAAGCTTGGGAAATGGATGTTGTTTCTCTTGCAAACGTTACATTAACAGACTAAAAGAATCATACACTTAATAACCGAGATGCTAAATTTTTATTAGTTACAGCTCGCCATCATACAGAATAACTAAGGTTTCATGCATCCCTATAAATGACAAGTTCTAAAAAATCCGAAGCCTCGCTGTGAATTCAGAAATCTGGTGCATATCTTAACCACAAGAGATAACTGTTTTTGAAACCATTTTTTAAAGCAATGCTTACATGCTTGATGGTCACTGATGGCAGGGGACGGGTTGCCAATTTCACAAACTTATTATAAATAAGTCACAGAAGGTCACAGGCCAATAAGAGTAGACGAGAAGTCCCGGTAATTGCAGCTGAAATAAAAAATAGAGCTCAACCGCAAAAATCAAGAACAAAAAAGGGCAGGCATTCAGAGGAGAAACATTAATTAGGAGATACATCATCAATGAAGATGACAAGGCAACCAAGTGAAGGAGCCCACACGGCAGAGAAAAATGCGTCCGAGAGAGGGAAATTGCAATTAATGTGAATGTACATTATAAAACAGGAACATGATGGAAACACACACAACGAAGCAAATCTTGTTATGGAGAAGGAAGAAGTTTGAAGGTACGCAAATTTTCGAAGACAAAATACATCGATAGCCATTACAATTGCCAGACATATGAGTTACATGTCTTATTCTCCATAATATGTTTATCATCCCTAAAAAAAAGATAAATAATATAGTTAAAAGTCTCTGCCTCCAAAAAAAAAAAAAATAGAAAAAGAAATTGTACCCACAATATGAAACCGCGTCACCGAAATAATGCAATGTACTTACACAGCTGGGTCATGTAAGTACATCTAAACATTTGTTTTGCCCTCAGATTATTCAGTAATAGCAAACAAAACAGTGCTAGGTAACCATCACCAGGGACTCTGGTGAGACACAATGCCTGGGAGACTGAAATGTGTTCGAAAAGACCCACCATCAGCAGCTGACCCGGAATCACACAGATGATAGGTGTCACCTGATGGGTTCCTGGGGGGGAGGGGTGAAGTTGAATTAACAGGCAAAAAAAAAAAAAAAAAAAAAAATCAAGTGGTATCTGAATTGCCATCAGTGCGGCGTGTCATGTTAATAGGAGGGACAAGAACATACAACTTTCTCACGAGCTGCGGAAAAAGCATTTGGCGAAATGCAGTGGTGCCTTGTGATAAAAAAACAAAAACAAAAAAAACCTCTCAACATAGCTAGGAAAAGAAGGAAACGCCCTTGGCCTGAGAAACAGCTGCCGCTTACACCCAAACACTCGGGGCAGGAAGTGTGCCTCACCAGCATAGCCTGCTAGGGAAGTGTGAGACCCAACACAGCAAACAAAATGGTTTTTTTTCTTTCTTTCTTTTTTTTTTAATTCTACAGTTACCCTCGTATTTAATGGTGAAGGACTGAATGCATCCCTCCCTGTTCTAAAGATCGCCAACAATTGTCTTAGTGATACCAGCCAGGGAAATTAGACAAGACAGCGAAGTTTAAACACCCGTATTGGAAAGAGTAAAGTAAAACTATGTCTAGTTGCATCTGGCGTGTTCTTGAAAACCCTAAGGTTTGCTGAGAATCCGCTAGGATCAACAGGAGGCCAACATTGCTTATTATGGTATAATGCCAGTATACAAGAATCAGCTGTATTTGGACGCTGACTTTTGGATACGGACGTTTGTTTTTTTTTCTGTGCTTGGAATCAAACCCAAGGTCTTGCAGGTGCTGGGCGAGAATCCTATCCCCGAGCCGCAGCACCAGGGTCAACGAACTGTATCAGCAGTGAATGATTCAAAAATGAAGTTAAGAAACTTCCATTTAAAATATAATTTAATTTCTGAAAAAATCAAGAATTTGCAAGGGCTGGGGGAAGATGGTTCCGTAGGCACCATCTTGTCACAGAAGCACAAATACCTGCTCTTGATCCCCAGAACCAATGTAGAAAGCTGGGTGTGATGGCCTGTTCTTGTAAGCCCAAGGCTGGGCGTGTAAACACAAAAAGATCCCTGGGACTTGCTGGTCAGCCAGGCTAGCCTAACTAGTGAGCTTCAGCACACTGAGAGACTTGTTGAAAAGACAGAGAAGAATTGGGGAAGGAGGGAGAATTTTAAGAGACAAAGATAGTTTTAAATGTTTTTTTTTTTAAATTAATTTTGGCGATGGGCATGTGTGCAAGTACCTGTGGAGGCCAGAGGTGTCCTGGCCTCTCTGGAGCTGGAGACATGGGAGGTTGTGCGCCACCCGATACAACTGTGGGGAGTAACTCAGTCCTACACCGAGCCCTCTCTCCAGCTCTGTAACGAGATACTTTATAAAGCTGGTTTCAAGTAGGTCTGACTTTTTTTAAAATTATTATATTTGTGTGTTTACCCCTTTAAAAGGCTATTTTCAAAACTGGGCACCATAAAAGAAAATGCCATTTAAAATCTCAATGAGACAGTTGCTGACAAAAAAAAAAAAAAAAAAAGTAAATTCCCAGGCCAACGTATGGCTCCGTGGAGTAATGCGTGCTTAGCATACACAAGACCCTGAGTTCAATCCTCAGAACAGGACAAGACAAAGAAGAGCAAATCTAGGCACATTACAGTCAAACTGCTGAAAAGCAAAGATAAAGAGGAAATTCTCAAAGCAGCCAGAGAAAATGACCCATCACATACAGGAGAACAATGATGAGAATGAGACTTGAATTTTCATCAAGAAATAGTGGCGGAAAAAAGACACCGGGAATGACATGTTAAAGTGCTGAAAGGAAAAAAAAAAAAAAAAAAAAAAAAAGCCCTGGTCAACTCCAAATTCTATATCCAGTGACAGCGACCATCGAAAGATGAAGGCAGAAGAAAGACAATTTTGAGACCAATGAAAACTGAAAACTGGTTGCTAGGAAAGCTGTGTAAAAGGGAACTGAAGGCAGTCCGCTCGGTGGAGACAAGCAACTCTAGAAACAGCCCCACAGAAGTGCTACGGTGCTGAAAACACAGGCCTCATGCTTAATTTTCTCAAAAGACAACGGGCAGTCTCATGCACAGGTGACAATGATCCTCTGCGCAGTTTATTGCATGCAGACAAGCAGAGATTTGTCTCAAAAAATAGTATCACAATAGCACAGAGGGTGAGGAAAGCAGTCAACGAAAACCTGACAGCGGTCCAATATTTACTCTACACGGATCTCGAAGAGTTAAACCACAAAGTAGGAATTCTAGTTTTTAAACTAAATTCATTTAAAAGGAAGTGAAGTGAGCGCTAAAAAGCCTTTGCTTAAGGTTTTACAGGCCAGGGTAACCAAAAAGTGGAAAACAAATAGCATACGCTTGAGCAACTAACACTCAGGATGCTTAAGAAAGCTGTATGGAAATGACATTTTAGGCTTCCTTTAAAATAGATGCACATACGGGGATGGGGGGATAGGATGAGGGAGGGAGGTCCGGAGGCGGCAGAGAGGAGAGAGAGAGAATATGGAGTCATCCCACACAGAGGGGATGCTAGGCTTCCCAGAAGTCATAGGTTGCCAAGTAAAAAGCTCAGTGGCAGGTATGGATTATCTCCCATCGAGCTGTTGGATGTGGGGAAGGGTTTGTCCCAAAGACCTTCAAGACGGGGCCACCTGTTGCCGTTTGCTCAGGGTTGCCCATGGGAACTTGACGGTAAGACTGTACTGTTGAAGACATCATACACTTTGACCACGGGGTTTGGAGGAATCAAGCTGGTGCCATCCTGGAAGCTTCCTCGTTTGCTGGCTAACCTTCACAATATCAGCATTTTTACCAACCGTGAAGCCTGAAAGCCAGGATGTGTCTGTGCTGCAACAGCGTCATGAATGTTATCCGGGTAACCAACCACTTTTTAATTGGCTGTAAGTCCTGTTCCACAGGAGGAAACTCACGCCTGGTACAAAAATCTGACCAAAAACCTATGGCTAGACAGCATCAGAAGTCCTCGGGGTGAATCTACCATAATTTTACTAAATGGATATATGCCTTCTGTATATATCTCTATGTCCATAGATGAACACAGCTCTCAGAGAAGCTTTTTTTTTTTTTTTTTTGTACAGACAACATCAGTTAATGAGGAGACTCACAACCAGTCAAAGTGTAGAAACAGGTGTCTCTGGAATTCTCAGAAATAAAATAACCATTTGTATCACACTGCCCTCCCCCCAACACTAGGAAAACATTGTGGAAAAGAGGACAAAAAGACTGCAAGAGCCACAGGGTGAAACAGTGTCTTCTGAACTTGCCCTCAGAGCTCACAACAGCTGCATAAGACCAAGCCAGTCAATATTCCAGCGTGGGTGAGGAGGGGCAGACCAACACCCACCGCTATTGGTGGCTTCTGAGGGAAGAAGAGTCCTTTTCCTTTAGGCGTGTGGTCCCTGGTGGACTAGCTGTGATCCAGTGGATGGCCCCACACCCATCAGTGTTTGGGTAGCACAAATTGGACTCCGTGGGTTAAGAGGGCAGGAGAAGTTGAATGGGATACAGCAGGGGACCTGAGAGAGGCTGGAGAGGGAAAGGGGAAGAAAATATGAGCATGAAGTAGGAGATTCTCAAATGAATAAAAATATCATAATAAAAACCCCCAGACTCAATTATATGCTGTCTACAAGAAACACACTTTAAGGTTAAAAACACAGGTAGGCTGAAAGTGAAAGAATGGGAAACAATGGAAGACACAGACCGAAAGCTTAAGGAAGACAGAATTGCTTTATCAATGTCAGGCAAAGCCTGCTTCAAGAAAGGGGAAAATGCCAGAGATAAAGAGGGCTCTCTCAAAACAACAAAGGGGCCATGTCACTGGGAGGCATAACAACTACAAAAGAGTGTGAGTCTAGGAACTGGGCTTCCAAGTGCCTGAGGACAACTGACCTTTACAGGACACTTCTCATCTCTCTCTCTCTCT